GAAAGTAAAGGAATACTTGGATTTTCACGTCATAGTTACGTTGCAATTCTGTGTCAAACTACGTTCTTCTTAAACGTCTTCTATAATTGGTTTTAGCTGGTTCTCAAAGTAGAAAAAGTGTTACTTGCATAAATACTATATGGAATTTGTAAAATGTGTTAAATATACTTTCTAATCGTCGAATTTTAGGCTACATGAACGGTTTTTTATTTCATTGAAGCTTTCACACGTATTAAATAGAACATCCCAAAGAAAAGGCGCCAAGATTAACTCGTGGAGTTTGCAAGAAATTATGAATAGTGACTAGCCTTTTATAATTCTAAAACAAAAGCACTGTTATACAGAGGTATATACAAGAAGATTTAGAGCAGAGGTCCCAATAGCTTAATATTTAGTGCGTTCGATTTTCATGCTGGCGACTTGGATTCAATCCCCCTCGAGTGCAATAATTTTTTTTTACTTTTTCATCTCGATTTTACGTTTTTTTTAATGGAATCGGACGGAAGACCTCTCGTTGCTCGCAACGAGATCGTATCTAGTTATTATTATTATTCTTATTTTTTTCCCCAAAATTTTGTGCACGCGATTTCTCAAAAACTATTCAGTAGTTTTCTGTGAAAATTACAGGAATTATGCGTCATTATATGAAGTTGTGGCATGGATAGGAAAATTTGGAATACTCACCTTTGGTTCCAAGTTATTGACACTTTTCTGATTTTAAAATGCAATTTTGTCCCCCCTTTTTTCGAAAATGGTTTAAGATATTAACTGGAGACTTGTAAGAGATTATAGATGATGACTTTTAGATGTGACGAATCACCTTTTCGTGTGTCGTCGGTACTTCCGGTTTCTACCGGAAGCGAAATTAAAAAGTCCGCATTTTCTAACTTTTTTGTTTTTCAATATTTTTCATTTATTTTTAGAATGTTAATAGAGACCCTTCTTATAATGCTTACTATATAATTTGTTTAAATATTGATAAATCCAAACTCTAGAAATTGACATTCAAAAATCTGAAGTGGGTCCAAAATGGCGGCTGTCTCTGTCAACTCCGACATTTCGCAATAGGGGTTTACGAAGGCAGCAGAGCGTTTGCTTGAACGAAAGTAAAATAAGGATAAAAGAAGTGTAAAGGAATACTAGGATTGTCACGTCGTTGTTACGTTGCAAACGTGTGTCAAACTATGTTTTAATCCATGGTGGTCTCAAACGTCTTCTATAATTGGTTTTGGCTGGTTCTCAAAGTAGAAAAAGAAAAGACTAAATGTGCAAATGAAATACGACACCTAGTATCTTTTACGTTTTGCAGAAAACAGATTTTAAACCATAGTTATAAGTAATAGTTTTTAAGAAACATATATACATGTAGTAAGTATTAAACGTAACCACCGTTTTCCTAATGCACACTTGAATTAAACAAATAGAAAAGACAGAAATAAGAAAACCATATCTAAAAAGATAATTTATGGAGTTTATATCATCATTCTTGTCTCAATGATCTCATTCAAGTTATTAAACATAAATGGTGTCCGATTCCTTGACCGTCGTAGGGCCACACGCTTTTCGGCGAAGCAATTCAAGCTGTACATGAAAGTTAAGTAATCAGGATATTTCATTATAGGGATAAACAGCAAAATAAAAATCAGTTGAAAATAATAGCAGTTTCACTGATTTAGTGCTAGTTATCTATATACGATATAGAATGCGTAAATGCGTTAAATATACTTTCTTAACAATGAAATTTAAGCTATACGAACATTCTTTTTTTATTTCCATTGAAACTATCACACCTATTTAATGGAACATTCCAAAGAAAAAGGCCCGAAGATTTCTTCGATTCGTTTGACGCAAAATTATGAATAGTGACCCGCCTTTCATTGTTCTAAGACAGATGTACTGTTGCACAAGTATATAAATGTATATTTAAAGCTGTGGTCTCAATAGCGTGATAGTCAGCGCTTTGGATTTTTGCGCTGGCGACCCGGGTTCAATCCCCTTTGTTTCCATAAAAAGTTATATCACTTTTCAACTCAATTTTGTGGGGTTTTTTTCCAGAATTGGACGGAAGACCTCTCGTTGCTCGCAACGAGTTTCTTTTCTAGTTATTATTATTTTTCTTCTTCCTGGGAAAATCTTTTCCGCGAGTGATCTTGAAAAGTACACGTCCGACTAAGGTGACACCTTTTTAGGGTCAGTAGGCATGTTATGTAGATTTGCGGAACGAAGGTCATTTTGCGCGCACGTGCTTGCAAGAGCGCGCACGTGCAACACGTGAAATGGCCAATATAATAGATATAGCCGTAACTTTTCTATTTTTTGATTATATGCTTTGAAACTCATAATATAAGTATATATTAGTAGTATAGACGTGATGACATGGTCAAAATAGCAAGATCTCACGCGCATGCACGTGCGCTTCGCTCTGATTGGCTGAAACTAACGTCTCAATATCTTTCTTGTTTTTTGATAAAATCCTTTGAAATTTTGAACATAGTCAAACATAAGCGAGATCTTTAGCTTGATATATAAGAATTATCATGAAAGCATGTGCATGCACGTGTGCTTGCAAGAGCGCGCACGTGCAACACCAGAAATGTCCAATATAATTGATATAGACTTAACTATTTAAATGTTTGATGAAATGATTTGAAACTCATAATATAAGGATATATTAGAAGCATAAACAAGAGGACATGGTCAAAATAGCAAGATCTCACGCGCATGGACGTGCGCTTCGCTCTGATTGGCTGAAACTAAAGTCTCAATATCTTTCTTGTTTTCCGGCAAAATCCTTTGAAATTTTGAACATGGTTATACATTATAAAGATCTACAGTATGGTATATAAGAATTATTATGAAAAGCATGCGCATGCACATGTGCTGCAATCTGATTGACTGAAACTTTAAATGTCTATAACTTTCTTAGTTTTCAACAAAACGGGATCAAATTTAGAATATGAATAGGTATAATGGATTCCTACATTATGGTACTATCAAAATTAAATACACAAACATGCATGCATGCACGTGCGCGCGCGAAATACGCAAAATGACCAATATTCTTAAGAAAAAGTAGCATGTATATTTTAAAGATTTTTTTGATTGATTCTCACGATATACAAATATGTTAATGATTTAGACATACCGTGATCATCTTGCAGGTGCATGCGCATACAATGCGTTAAATGACATATAGTTGATATCATTATAGTTTTTATAATTCTTTGATAAAATCCTTCGATGCTGATCACATTTTTAAAAATGCCTTACAGGAATTAGGCACAAAAAGGGATTTGGGGAGCGTTTGGGGAACATCTGTAACGGTCCCCGTTACAATTAGCACTAGTTTGAATGGTGCGATAATAGCGAGTCTCAACAAAAAAAAAATCTTAATTCTATAGAATCGTGTCAAATTTATGTTTTATTTATATTCTTAATTTTGGGTTTATGATTTGAATTGAACATATTTTAATTGTTTAGATATTACAACAAAAGGATTGGACACAAGTACTTAATACTAAAAACTTCCTGTCCTTCGGGTTTTCATTATATACCTCTCAAAGTTCTTTGAAGTTCTCAGTAAAGTCTAATAAAAAGTCGAATTTTTACCCCGTAAAAGCATTTTAATATTGATGCATGTCCATTTTAATCTAACCATAGATATCAATGTTTATTAATATGATATGAAATTCGAAGTGATTAATGGTGCTTTGCAATGACAGGAGAATTCTTATACACTTTGTATTTAGAATTAGGCCTATCGAAGTAAATTAAAGAAATAAAGTACATTAAATGTTCAAAAAGTGTGGAATTTCTTCAAAAGCCTGGATACAGGTCTATGATTTTTATTTTTAAAATGCGTTCATTGTTCAATTTTGAATTGGAAAATACATTACAGGTGTATTTATTTGTAATTCCTTGTTTTTTGCATCTTGCTCTGCGTACGTAGCATTTTTTTTTTTTTGGAGTCGGGATCGAGATTTCATATTTTGCTCTTTCGGCAACAGCCTTGAACTTGAAGTTGAACAGGTGGGGAACTGATAGTCTGACGGTGAATACCGTGAAGGAATCCCTACCGTGAAGAAAGCTATGAGCATGGTGAGACGGTGAGTAAAGGTTATTTAATTTAAAAATCTGCTTATTTCAAAATGGAAAACAGTGGATTGCAACTGTGACAGTCTATATTTACATGTACAGGTGATATTCTCTTTAGAGAAGTGGACAGGCTTTCGCCTCGTGGATGTAGGCGAAAGCCTGTCCACTTCTCTAAAGAGAATAGTACAGGTGAGTTTTAAAAAATATTGTTTGGCTGGTGACTTATTCAGTTATATTGACGGAGGCGAACCTTGAAAAAGTCAGAGCTCGGAGCCATCATCAGATCATGGTAGAAGTGGGTACGGGTACAAGTCAAAATGGCACCTGGTGAAAACGGCACTTAGGAAATATGAAAAACGGCAATATTTTGCACTTTTCTAAAAACTTGCCACCCCGTTCTTTACGTGACGTCAGCGCATGGCGGTGGCAAGGGGTAGATTTTTTTTTTTGAAAAGTGGAAAATATTGGTTGATTGCGTCTATATTTCGATGCATTTGAAATTTTTGAAGCGATGGAATTAAGGAAAATCAATCCTGGGCACAGTTCTGCACACTAAAGGTTAGACACTTTCGTTTTTCCCAAAAACTCGGCTCCGAGTCTGCAAGGGGGTATAAAAAGGTTGTTGCAAACCTGTGTATTTAAATATAGAGAGGTATATATATTTATATATATCACTCTAATCAAGCATGTAACGGCTTATTGATAGAAATTCAGAGGCCTGTGGATAGAATGACTCCTTCCTCACTGAAGTTCAGCATAATTGTAACTGAAATGCCAGAATATTGTTGTTTCTACCGATAGTTGTTCTGTCTTAATTAAGTTCAAAGTTTCTGGCTAGTGTCAATCTTAACTATGTTGTTAACCAAATGTCAAATGCTTAAAAAATTATTAGGTAGGGGCAATTTTGATGGGTCAGTCGGAATATATCAAACAAACCATTTTTTTATTGTTGGCATTGTATATTTCCTGAAACAAAAATAATATGTTCTTAATCGGACTTTCTTGTACTTTAGGCCTATAATATCACTACTGTTCCTGTATTGATTGTATTTATTTTCATTCCAGTGAAATCAAAAGAAAGAAAGAGATTGAGAGAGTAATGGAAATGGACAGCAAAGATCACATTGCGTATGTATAATAATTGATTTAAGTCACCTAATAGAATTTTTTCTCCCAACAGATGTTAGTAATATCTGTTCTCTTATGAAGCTTATTTAAGTTATATGAGCTCCATTTGAAGAAATTATCATTGATTTAATCTTATTCCTTAATCGTAAGTTAGATCTTGTATGATTTTTGTATACTAATTTTAATTATTTTTTCCCAGTTTTTGCAGAGAGCATTCATTGTGGCAATCTTATGTAAATGTAGACGATGGTGCCCTACTATTGAATATAAAAAAGTGGACAAGAGGCCAGCTTGAAATGGATAGAGAAGAGGATAAAGGTACCGTGAAATCATTAGTACATTGTACTGGGATGAAAACTAGATTGTTGTACACAAATGGTGGAAATGATGATGTATTTTGTATTTATGTTCAGCTATTTGTTTTAGTGAAAGGGAAAAAATGTCAGAATATTTTTGGTGATATTTTGATATTTTATTCACACATAATAAGTGTATCATCCTCACACAGAATCAATATCTCTGATATTGTTCCATCTCTGGGAATCATTATTGTTCACAGCTAGGGATTCAGTGGTTGTTGATTTTATTGGTAGCATTACCAACCAATTACCATTAAATTCCCCACAAAAAACATATACATTTCAATCGGTTAATTTATTTGTCTTGATAATATATGCAACTGAGTCAAATGACACAAGAAATAACATCCCCATTAACCATTAACCAGTCAAATTTTGTTTATCAACGAACATTGACCCCCTCCATGAGGAATACAATTCCACAGCATTTGTCAAATTTGTGTTCAAGTAACATTACATCATCTACAAAATATTTTTGTATTAATATTAGCCAATTTGAAAACATCATGTTGCAATAAGTCAGAAATCTGACAGTCTTGTTTCAAACCAAGAAGTAAATTGTTTTATGAATATTTTCAGAGGAAAAGTTTCTGTCTCAGGGTTTTGACTTGAGTGGACATGTAGAGAATAAGGATTGTGCAATTGGCTTAAATATTCAGTTACGATATGGTGGAACAAATAAATTGGATGATGTAAGTTGCTCTGTAGTGTAAGATTTATTTTAACTCTCCCAACCTCCAAAATGATTTAAAAAGTGGATAAATTAAAAAAGTTAGGCTTATACATACAGTCAAACCTTAATTATTATCTCAAATTGATGAGTCTAGGAAAACATACATGTACATGAAATTGACACTTGTCTGCCTAGCAAAGATGGTCCAAGCTCGATGTTTTGTAATCCAACTGAAAGAACTTTATTCGGTAATAACCAATATTTGCCCCCCAAATCAAACTTTAAAAGGAGAAATATTTGTGTTCTTAGATAAGGGAATATATGCTGATTTCAAAGCACTGAATATTTTCATAATCAGTGACATCATATGTTTATAATGATGTCACTAAAACGACGTAAATTTAAAATTTCCATGATTTCCATAGAAAAATGTATATTTTACGTCGATATTTTGAGTAAAAGTCACCGAGCGCAGGACTGATCAGGCTCAAAATTTTGATATAATGTTTAGAATGATAATATCAATGAAATATTTAAATATTGTTCCTAGTAAACTTGCGCTCTATAAATTTTAAAGCTAAAACTGTTCAAATTTTGCTTATTTTGTCCTCTTTCTAAAAAAAGATCTAAAATCGGACTAGTTTTTGAAATCATAAAAACAAAAATTGTCAATAAACTACTTTGAAACTATGATATGTTCTATTATTTCATATTTCTCATACAATTTATAAAATTCAGCACATTTCAAGAATTTTTCAACATTTGACATTTGGGGGCAAAGATATGCAATATACCGCATTTAGTTCTTTTGCTTATGACAGTCACATGTAATTGCTTTTTAAAATGTTTTTCAATCTAGACTGTTGTCTCACCCAGCCAGTTTTCACTGAACCAGTATTGTTTTGATTAGTCAAGTTTTACTGTACATTAAGTCTTTTATCTTTTTGTTAAAGAATGACACTGTACAATTCATATGATTAAAATCATTTCATTCCTTAGCCCAAGGTCTGGGAGGGGTCCTCAGAGTTCAGGCCTTGGATGTCTCAAATCTGCGTAAACAATGAAGATCCTTCATTCCTACTCTTAACACTAGAGATGGAGGGAATAACCTTCAAGGAAGGTAGGTGTTCTCATAGCAATTGATTGAGAGGGCTGGGTGGTTGTGGCCATTTTTAGACTGTATTGATCTTCTTTTGGGTACTACTAAACAGAGAACCCAAGAGAACTCTAGAGAATCTTAGAGAACCCTAATGATTTTAAGATATTTATTGTCTGTAAATAAAATATTTATATTTTGAATAACTAATATGTCATGCTAAAACAAAATTAAAAAAAAGAAATAATTATTTTAACAACTTTTTTGCTTATTTTAAAGTCATATACGCTATATGAACACCAAATTTTGTGTGAAACAAAATGATTAATGATTAAAAACACATGAAGTGTAATGAAAAATAATATTTTCCACAAAAACTGTACTATAGATGTCGTTGTAATAACAAAACAATTTAACAATATCTAGGAATTAAGGACTCAGTCTTTTCATGAATATTGATGAAGGAAGTGCGTAAACAGTAGGTCTATATATAGAAACACATGTCAATGGGAAATCACAGACATCGAGGTATGTTGCATTTTGACAACAATTATTAATATAAGGTAAATATGCGTCATAACAGAGAAGATGGTTGATACTGAATACATTAAAAGATAAGTACCATTAAGTAAGACGCTTGCCATCCACGTCAAAAGTGAGTAGTATATATCTCAAACGGCCTACCTTGTTTTCTTTACGCCACGTGTGTTTATCAATCTAAAAGTAGCGACGGCGTCACGTGATGGATTAATTTAAAGATAGCTGTTTTTCTTTCCTTGCAGGATAATAAAAAATTATAATTTGATAACTTTGTAACGCGTTTAATTTTAATGAAGTAATTTACAGTATTTTCCTAACTTTTATTGATAAACAAATTATATCAATTTCCAGTCGTATTTTAAGTGGCGCAAATTATAGCGTGTATATACTTTTAAAAGATTACTATAATATCTTACTACTACATAATAGCTTTCGTGATAAAACTAGCAAGAAATTAATTAATATGTTTGAGATAAGAGTAAATGGTTAAAAATCATACATATCATTAAATTAGATAAAAAATAATGTGAAAAATATTTGTAAAATTACGTGATAAGAATTATTATTTCGATTAATGTTTTTGAAATTCAATCGGGATCGGGATGTCATAAAATATTGCTACTTCTATTTTGTTACGTTTTTTCTGGTGAAAACTTATATAAAATAACTTTTTAATTGATTTTATATATAAAATATGATTTATTTAGTAAAAATCAACCCAAATATGCCAAAAAGTATCAAAATTCACCATATAAACCTCAGGTTTTCTAGAGTTCTCTAGGGTTCTCTGTTTAGTAGGACCGATCTTCTTTAATAGAAGAGTTCCATCTAAAGACATATGTATAAAAGGGATGAAATTTTAAAATTAAAATGTTTAAAATTTTTCTTTGCATCTGAAAATTGAAGTTATATCTGATGGTTTATTTGTTGCCCTAGCCTCCTTAAATCCTGAAGATATCTTTGAAGTAAATGCATGGATTTATATGTAATTAATATCTACATGTATAACAAAATAAATGTTAAAAATGTACAGTTGGCTATTAGATCAAAGTCTGCAAACCATTTACCATTAATGCAGTCAATGGCAAAAGGTATGTATGCATGGACAGAGAACTCTCTCAAGATCAGAAAGGCTTTGCTTAGTCAAATAATGTGCTAATTAAGAGCAGATTTTTTTTTTACATTACAAAGGATTCATTGGTTTACCTTTAGATATTAAAGCAGGGTTTGCAGGAGAGATACTTGGCTCTGAGGCAATGGAAAAAGAAAAAGATGTCAATCCATTCAGTGGTCTTAATGAATCATGTGATCCAGGGATGCCAAAAGAACTGAAGCGCTCGACGGCACACGGTCTGTCATCTGGTCTAGCAGAAGAATTGAAACCATTGACGGGCCTTGTTTCACTTGATCCAGGAAAGGAAAAGATAACTCTGTCTAGTGGCCCTGTAAGGAAATCTGCTGTAGGAAGAAAGTCGAAGAAAAGGAGTCATGAAGGTATTATTGGCCAATTTTTGTGAGAAATAGTGAGATTTTCTTTTATTTGCAAATATTTTCTTTTTGGAACATTTCACTCAAAAGTGTATTTATGTAGAAAGATTTCTCAGTAGCAGAAATTAGTCATCAAGGATGGATTTCAGACTGAATCACAAATGAAAAAAGTTTTTGTGAATTTTTGGTTAAGAGTATTTGATAAACATGTACAGTCCCTGAAACATTTTACTTTCCCACCTGAATGGTGAACAAACGCTGAACAAACGCATAGCCAACGGTGAGTAAACGATGTGTGAACGCTGAACGCAACTAGGTAAACGAAGTGTGAATGGTGAACGGTGAGTGAAGACAGAATGCGAACGGAGCGCAAAAGTGAATGAAGGCCTTCAAGGGTGAATACAAGATGAACGATTTACTCGGAATGCCTCCGATCTTTTCCTTGCATTGAAATTATTCTATTGTATTTTAATGTCCGGTGCTGAAATAAAAATTAACAAAAATAGATAAATAAATAAATAAATAATGAAAACAAATTCTCTGCACATATGAATAATGTTTTAAAACAATATTTTAAAAACACGATTTTTATTGATGTAAAACGTGTAATTGTTACCGAATGTGTGTGATATAAAAGATAATATTTAATCTTCTTATAAAAAAAAATATGCTTATTCTTTTAACTTATAAAATAATGTGGACTTTAGAAGAGAAAACTACAACTTATAGAATGAATTTATTACCAAGGTTGTAACAACCATACATATATTTCCGTATCAAAAGCTGTGACCAAGGTTAAATTGGAAATACACAGTTTACGTCATTTCTATCTGTTACAACCAAAACATTCAGTGATAGACAATGAAATGGGTGGGTACAATTCGATGCGGATGTGGGGAAAATATTGGACTGAAATTGCAGATTGAAATTCATTTTCAGTCAACCTGAGCTGTTTTCAAAACAAAAAGTGAATATATGATCCAAAAATCAACTAGTTTTAACTCCAAAATACAATGTCATGCACATATTGTTTGAAGTTCACATTAATATGAGTTTTAGCTTATATAATTTTAAGAACGCGAAATATCATAGAAGACAAAAATTATTTTTCAGGAGATATTTGATTCTAGAAGGGGAAGGGTGGGGGTTAAAAAATTGTTGAGTCAGGTCATGGCTTAATATGACAATATATTTTATTTCTAGGATTATAAGAGTGCCTGAGTTTTATATTTATTCTCACTGAAAACTGTAGGACAACTTTATTTAAAAATCGTTCAGCCCCCATCCTCAACACAAAACATATACATATATTTACCAAACAGAAATGAAATATTTGTCCCTTAAATATTAATTTATTTAGGACACTGGACAAAAAAAAATCAAACTGTACCAAAATTGAAATTATTTGTCTTCTGGGTCAATCAGTAATAATTGTACGTGCCTTCTAGCGTAGCTGATGTGGATTGAAAATGAATTTCGATCTGCAATTTCAGTCCGATGTACGTCCATGTCAAAATGTACCCACCCATTTCATTGTCTATCACTGAATATTTTGATTGCAACAGAAAGAAATGACGTAAACTGTGTATTTCCAATTTTGCCAGTTAATTTTCCGATGTCTTATCAATTTAAGGGGATGAAGGACCTTTAGCTGGAAAAAATACTTGTCATGCAATTTTTTTCGTATTTTGTATATATCTTGTTTAGTATGTCCCACGTACCTTAAAGCAGATATATCAATAGGTTTCTAGATTTATTTCTGAGATATTGGGTGACAAATACTATGCCCCACAATGTCTGAGTGAAGTTTGATTCTCAATATTTCTGGGCCCATTACTCGGTCCATAATGGAATTTTTTCAGCATAGATAAAAATGATGTCAGCGAACATGTGTCTTTTAAAATATTTCAGAGTATGAATAGGATTAAAAATTCGAAAAAGAAAGATTCTTTTAATTGTCACACCACATCTGAAGACGGAAAGTTACGTTCTTTTTAAGACACCTTGAATGACAAAAAATCCTATCATTCATTATTTGAAAAATTTCGTCGGAATGCAAGTTCCTCATGTTATTGAATAACTGCAAAAATATCAATTGGTGAAGCTGAGCTCAATATTGCACAGGGCATTGTTAAACAAGACATGAGGTTGAGAAAAACGTGTCATGTTTACATTTCTCGAGTACTGGAAAAACCCTACTATGACGTCACACATTTGCGAAATAAGCTAAGTAAAACATAACTACAATATATTTCCATCAACAACCATGTAAAAATACTTTTTGTGTTCTGTAATTCATAAAATATTCCACCATGTACTGATCATGACCTGTTTTTATGATATTATAGTATACTACCCGTGTTTTACCTTGTATATAATCTTACTGTACTAAGATCCACTATGACGTCAGCGACTCATTGAACGCGCAGTGTAGGGAAAAAGAAGAGTGGATCAATCTATACCATGATTTGAAAATATTTGCAAAAAAGTTTAAATGTTTTTAGATATTTTTATACAAGATGGTGAACTCAAACAAACAGTCATTTTTTTCCCAAATACTGTGGTATCAATCTGGTTTTGTACATATTTTATGAGAGATTATGACTTAATTAAACTGAGTCACGTGACCATACATGCTTCTTTGCCTTAATTCTCTCTAAAGATATTTAATAAGCTGAATATCTGGCTGCTGTACTGTTCATAATTCTCAGAACTAGTTCTAACATGTTTTCATGTATTTAAAAAAAAAGTGCGTAGCTGAAAGACGATTACCTATGTTTTAGCATTCTTCTATATGCATATAGGTACTTATTGTGCTTATAACAACATTTATTTTCCAGAGAAATTTCATTTATAAAACAACATCTAAGTTATAATTAATAAAAATATAAATATTGTAGATAATTTTTGCCATGAAATAATGATTCTTCAAACATGATATCTTAGTTATTAATTTTTAAAAAAGAAATAATTCCCTGCCATTGAAAAGATAAGTCCTTTCACTTCGGAGTTCCGAATGGCAACAAAGACTGAACGATAAGTAAACGTTGAACGCAAGTTGAATGCAAAGTAAACGGAAGGAAGAGCAAATGTTGAGCGCTTTGTAAATGGTGAACTTGAGCGCATGGTGACTGGTGAACACAAAACTGGGAACCACCAAGAGCGAATGGTGAAAGCATGCTGAATGAACGCTAAACAAATGGTGAATGAAAGAAAAAATGGGAAAGTAGAACGTTTCAGGGACTGTATTGTGCGAAAATATTAAATGCTTATTTTGACAGATGAATTAAAAATTATTAATACTATTCTTTATCAGCAAAAGAATACATCCTTTTTCTATTGAGCTTTGTGATCAAAAGATATTTCCTAGATAATTAATCTGTTTCTATTTGGAATTATAGAAGCTGCCACTGTTGATCTTGGGAAGCTGAGAAAGGAGCTGTCGACTGCTACAGCACAACTACAGCCTGAGGGTATGTCGCCAAAGTTTTAGTTCTACATAATATTATTAAAATATATTAAAACCAGCTTTTGTGGTTTTTGTAGTTCTTTAAAAATTGCAATAAAAGGGGGGTTGGGTCTCAAACACATGCTGAAATTAAATTTTTAGGTCACCTGAGTCGCTCAGGTGACCTATTGCTATCCGTTTTCATCCGTCGTCATGCGTCGTGTGTTGTGCGTTAACATTTGAACATTTTCAGCTTCTTCTCAAAAACCACTGAACCAATTTCAACCAAATTTGGTATACAGTATCTATAGGTAAAGGGAAAGATAAATTGTGAATTTTATGGTCCCCACCCCCCTGGGGGCTGAGGGGTGGGGCCAAAACCACAAAAAATAATGAAATCTTTAAAAATCTTCTTCTCTACTTCTGGACATCAAGCAGTCAAACTGTTGGTATGAATGTAATGAGCATTGAGTCCTCTACCAAAATTGTGAAAATTATGGCCCCAGGGTCAGGGGTTCTAGTGCTAGGGCAGGGCTATATAGATTATATAGTGAAAATGCATTATTTCTTTGAAAATCTTCTTCTCTGCTCCTGGGTATTAAATAAACTAACTAAGTACATAGTTATAATGAGCAAGAGTGCCTCTACCAAAATTGTGAATTTTAAGGCCCCAGGGTCAGGGGTTCTGGTGCTAGGGGGGCTATATAGATTATATAGTGAAAATGCAATATTTCTTTGAAAATTTTCTCTGCTCCTGGGTATTAAATAAACTAACTAAGTACATAGTTATGATGAGCAAGAGTGGCTCTACCAAAATTGTGAATTTTAAGGCCCCAGGGTCAGGGGTTCTGGTGTAAGGGCAGGGCTCTATTGATTATATAGTGAAAAAAAACAGTTCTTTGAACATCTTCCTCTCTGCTCCTAGGTATTAAATAAACTAAATAGTTATAATGAGCATTAGTGCCTCAATCTGATTTGTAAATTTTATGGCCCCTGGGTCAGGTGTTCTGGTGTTATGGTGGGGCTCTATAGTGAAAATACTTTAATTCTTTTAAAATCTTTTCGTTTGCACCTGGGTATTATGCCAATGATCTAAGTATATATATCTATGGTGAAAAAAGGTGCCTCTATCAAATGGTGAATTCCATGCCCCCTGGGTCAGGGGTAGGGGTTGTTACATGTACATAGTCTGAAAATAAATTAATGCTTTGAAATCTGCTCTTGAGTATTAATCAACCATTTATGATGAAATAAAATTTATGATAAAATTTCGAAAATTTTGAAATAAGTGGCCTCAGGGTCAGTGGTTCCTTTGGGGTGGGGTGCACAACTGGTTTTTAGTTGGAAGAGCATTTTTTCTTTGTTACTCTGATCTACCTCTGGGTATTAAGTAACTAGAGTAAGCAAGCTAAGTGTACAATTATGATAAGCAATGGTGCCTCTTTCAAAATTGTGAATTTCATGGCCTCCGGTTTAAAACATGAACCAAATTCAATTGTGCAAAAGTTGTTACATGATACTCAGGTGACCTATAAGGCCCGTGGGCCTCTTGTTCCATTTATTTGTAAATTTATGGACAGGAGCTGTTGCTGTAGAAATTGGTAAACTTCTCATCAAACTGTAACATGCATAGTGATACAAATCAAAGTCAGTTCCAGATGAACTCTGATTGAATTTTGGCCCTATAGAGTGGACTAGGGACTCGATACATTTTGGTTATTCAAGTTTTATGCTGGAATTTATAGTTCACTTTCTTCTACAGGAAAGAAAAAGAGAGATTTGATCACAGGAGAAGTTGGAGCATTGAATAAAGATGCAACATCTTCACCTCCTTTAGAAAAAGAACAAGAGGATGTGACGAAAAACAGAGAAGAGGACAGAACATTGGTTGAGGATGTCATGCATTCATCTTCATGTAAGAAAAAAAAGGAAGTCTTAGACCTGAATCCAGGAGAAGTCAGGCACAAAGTATTGGATGAGGGTGCCAGGTCTTCACCATCTGTTGCAGAAAAGAAAGAAGAAAATTCAAAAAAGTTATATAAAGGTATGTCTTAATAAGAATCTGATTTTTATTTATTACAGTGTTTTCACTTCATGTCTCGTTATAAATTACTGTAAATGTACTGCATTTGGCAATGTATTCTATTTAGGGTTTTGGCGAAGTCAGAATCCGCTTAATCAAGTACATTGCTAATAATGTCTTATATATTATACTTAACCTCTAGGACATTCAGATAGCTTTAAATCAAATCTACGCTAATTATGCCCCCCTTCGAAGAAGGGAGGGCATATTGCTTTGCTGCTGTCTGTCGGTCGGTCTGTCGGTCCATTTAGTTTCCGTTCATTTTCTTCATAACCATTGGTCATACTGAAATGAAATTTGGTATACAGGTATATCACATGAATATCTAGGTCAAGTTCTTTTTTGGGTACGATTGCACCATAATTGACAGAGTTATGCCCCTTGGACTTAGAAAAATTCCAGTTATTTGCAGTTTCCATTCATTTTCTTTGGAGAGGTTGCAAATATTGAAATAAAATTTGGTATACAGTTTTATCACATGAATATCTAAGTCAAGTTCTGTTTTTGGTACGATCGCACCATAATTGACAGAGTTATGCCCCTTGGACTTAGAAAAATTCCATATTTTTGCAGTTTCCGTTCATTTTCTTTGGAGAGGTTGCACATATTGAAATGGAATTTGGTATACAGATCAGTCAGATGAATATCTAGATCAAGTTCTGTTTTGGGTACGATCGCACCATAATTGACAGAGTTATGCCCCTTGGACTTAAAAAATTCCATATTTTTGCAGTTTCCGTTCATTTTCTTTGAAGAGGTTGCACATATTGAAATGGAATTTAGTATGCCGATTAGTCAGATGAATATCTTGGTCAAGCTATGTTTTGGGTATGATCACACCATTTTTGACAGAGTTATGCCCTTTTGGACTTAGAAAACTTCCAATTTGTGGGGGAGGGGGGCATAAGTGTTTTACAAACATCTCTTAATGTTTGTTGAGATATGCATTTCCACTAAATATCATACATGCCAAATATAATACGTTAACTTTACAGTTTTTGTAATCAGTTACATACACAGTAAAACTTGTTTAGTACAAGTTAACACAGATATTATGAATTCACAGATATACCAAAATTATCTTGAATCCTCAACTACATAAATTTAAAGAATAACGAATTAGAGATATAGTGAATTTCAAAAGTCACAGTGACCTTTTTTATAACCGAGTTTTACTGTGACTGTAATGCTCAGGGATAGCAATAATTTATAACTAACCTAATAAGCTCTTGAGTAGCGCAGCAGCATTTTTAATTTGTAAGATATAAAAATTGTGTGCAAAATAATCAAAGTCAATTTCCTCAGACCTGTGCAGAAAGCATCAACTCAATGTATAATCAAGATTAATCAACGTTTCAAAAATATGATTTTAATTTATTTAATATCATTATAATTACATATCAACAATAGATCAAATATTCTTTCACACATCTCATTCATAATTAAAATTATGTATCACCAGAACTACATGTACTTTAAAACCTCCCAAAATGAAGGGACTGGATCAAGGGGAATAGCTCTAGTTGAATAATCCCGTAATGAAAACATTGTATTTAATGTAAACAGGATTTAATAAACACCATTTCTGAACTGAGTTAAATTACTCAATTGTTCACTATGGTTACCTATCAGAGACAAATAAATACATTTACAGATTCTGTAATAATTACCAAAGGGAAAATACAGTTAAATTACTGCTTCATTCACATGGTTATCCCTACTTAAAGTATGAATAAATTAAGTCAACTAGACCACAGTGTATATCACAGTTTAATTACTGCCTTGATATACGTAACTATGGTTAATAATTACTAAGTCCTTTGTCAAAAAAAAAAAATTCTAAACAGAAAAATATGACTTAATAAAAATCAAAAGTTTACTCAAAATAATTAAATTTACTCTAAATCAATTTAAAAGATTTCTCAATTAAAAATGAATAAAATTTCAATGAAATTCAATCAGATTAAAAATCAATCAATTTCCAAAAAATATCCTAACTCAAAAAAAATAATCACGGAAATAATAACTTACATTTAATCACTGCATCAGTCATTATCCCTGCGATTTAAATAAATAAAAACCTAATCCTAATCAAATAAATAAAAAAAAAAAGAAATTAAAAAAAAAACTTAAATAAATTGAAACCTCATTAAAACGTCAAAAAGTACCAACTAATCTCCTAAAATCAATGGTAAAAAGAGTCTACCAAACCTCAAACCGCTGTATTTATACCATATACCAAACAATAGTCAAATATCGTGGCAACATCGATAATCAATCATGTGATCAGAATCGTGACCTGTGATAGGATAACACAAAATAAATTGCTTTTGGACAAGAGCCACCTAACGTGTGATACGATTAAGAAATCATTGTACAGTAAATAACTGATAGATTTATCAATATTCAACATCTTCCAATTCTCCGTACATAGTACAACGTAAAACAAGATAATACTGTATACAGGGAAATTTTCGCCCCCGTTTTATTTTCGCCCCATTCGCCTTTTCCTGATTGGGCGAATTTAAAACGGTGCGAATTTAAATTACACAGCATAATTTCTTAAAACTAAGATTGGGCAAATTTAAAATGGGGCAAAATAGTTTGCAACTTCAAAAGGGCGAAATTAACACGGGGCGAAAATAACCCTGTATACAGTAATTAAATCATCGAGTACTACATATATTAAACAACTTTGAAATACAATAATACATAATGTTAATCCAACGATTGACCACATCAAATAATCAATAATCGAGCATAAATTTATCGACTACATTATCAGTGAGCTAACTAAAAAAGAGCAGACGGAAAAATGTGGCTGCACATATACTCTTCACATTCAGGCCAAATAGCACAGGTAACATTTATAAATTAACTTAAGATTAAACATAACAACACATTAAGTACAACAAAATAATATCATTGGTATCAAAAATTGAAATCAGGCACAATCCGAATT